ACAATATTGGATCAGTTTGGACAGTGTATTGTGTTGTTTATTGTATACTTGATATTGAACAATATCATAATATTGACTTGATTGACAACTGAAATCATGCAATGGTTGGTAATTGTATCAGTTGACATGTATTGGATAGGTTGTTGTCATGACCCAGTACATATAGTGTAGTATGTTGACGTGTATTGATTATGTGATTGAATGATACGATCGAATACCGCTGATCACTTTGTTGGTGTACAATATCACATGTGCACAATATCAATATGTTGCACAACAGTCATTCAAACAGGTTGGAGCATGTCACGAGCAATGCAATCAACTTGGTACAACACATGCCAGCATACATGTAGTGTATTGTACACTAGTAGTGATGATTCGACCAACGGCATGTGTGGTTGTAATATTATACATGAAACCACATATTGATGTCCATGATTATGGGGACATCCAGAATTACAATAATGGGTCGGCAACAATGTGATGGAACTGGATGCGCAATATCAAAACCATGTCCAGAATACGTGATATAACAACAACTTGCAACCATATTGATGTAAATGGATCACTAAATAACAGTGTCATGCATATGCAAACAACAGTTGCATTACTGACATGTGTCATGATTGTTGTTGAACTAGATTGCAATCGTATCCGTGATTCAGAATACAATAAATGTGTGTACAGAGTTGTATTGACAACATTGACAACATCTACAGTCAAACACAATATATCGATTGCAATACATGGATATGGGTTCAAACTTGTTGATCGTATAATGTATGATTACTAAAAGTGCACCAAATGTAGATTCGACACTATAGTCTGATTGTGTGTCATATGATGGTTGTTGTATTTGGAACAATCAATATAGTCAATGTGTAGTATCAACCAGCCAAATATGTAACCATTGTATATCCCAAATCAAAGCCACTGCTGGATGAATACCAAAGTGATCCATTTTTACGCGAATATGGTTGTAAAAGGGTGCGTTTACAAGGCTACACAACACTCTTGAAGGGTGTTTTTCAAGACATCTGATAAAAGGGTCACGGAAGCACAACATGATATTGTGACCAGGGAGCAGTATACTGTCTAGTTTGATAGTAGCCCATCGCAAGCAGTCAAATAACCCTGTGTAGTCGACTAACCTAGAAGGGTTAGGGTTGGTTTGCTATACAAAATATAAGTACTGTCAAGTACGCTCAGTTTTAGAATCGACACCAGTTTCAACACTCTACTTTTGTACCAACTGTTTAAACATATTCATCAGACTTGATGAAATTCACTGGCATTTTATTCTTACTGAGCGCGGCAGTAACCGTTAATGCAATGCTGGTCTCGACTGGTAGCAATGGTTCACCTGAAGCATCTGGATTAATTGCTGGATTCAGTTCAAACATTTACAAACGAGGTCAGGAAAACCCATTTGATAAAGATCATTCAGACACTGATTCGGATCAAGAGGCTGCATCAGGAGAAAACAGTGAGCTCATTCGCCAACTAAAGATACAAGTTGAAGACGCCGGGAAAGCAGAATCAATCGCAGCTAATACTTTGTTAAAGTATACGAATCTTGGATTTAAACAAAAAAAGTTGATAGCACAGGGCAAAACGATATCTGGAGAAAAGCATAGCGAACAACGTGAGAATCAATTGGATGAAGAGTGGAAAGCTCAAAGGGGAAAACTAGACATTCTGAGACAGAAATTACGAGAAGCCAGGCTAGGCACTTCTGGTCGAGACCGGAAACATTCGATTGATGAATCTGACTCAAGCACTTCCAGTCGAGACCGAAAACACTCGATTGATAAACCCGGTCCAAGTACTCCCAGTCGAGACCGAAAACACTCGATTGATGAACCCGGTCCAAGCACTTCTGGTCGAGACCGGAAACACTCGATTGTTAGACACCATTCAGATACTGATTCAGATCAGGGGATTACATCAGGAAAAAACAGTGAGCTCATTCGTCGATTAGAGAGAGAAGTTGAAGACGCTGAGAACGCAGAAGCAATCGCATCCAGTAATTTGTTCAAGTATACGAATCTTGGAGTTCAACAAAAAGGTTTAATAGCACAGGGCAAAGCGATATCTGGAGAAAAGCATAGCAAACAACGCCAAGATCAATTGAAAAAAGAGTGGGAAGATGTAGAGAGAAGACTAAACCTTCTGAGACAGAAATTACAGGAAGCCAGGCTAGGCACTCCCAGTCGAGACCGGAAACACTCGATTGATAAACCCGATCCAAGTACTCCCAGTCGAGACCGAAAACACTCGATTGATGATCCTGGCTCAAGAACTTCTAGTCGAGACCGAAAACACTCGATTGTTAGACATCATTCAGACACTGATTCGGATCAGAAGACTGCACCAGGAAAAAACAGTGAGCTCATTCGTCGATTAGAGAAAGAACTTGAAGACGCTGAAAAAGCAAGAGTAATCGCACACAATTCTTACTATGAGTATAGGAATTTTGGATTTGAACAAAAAAGGTTAATAGCACATGGCAAAGTGATATCTGGAGAAAAGCACAGCAAACAACGCCAAGATCAATTGGATAAAGAGTTGGAAGCTGCAAAGAAAAGACTAAACTTTTTGAAACAAAAACTACAGCAAGCCAGGCTAGGCACTCCTAGTCGAGACCGAAAACACTCGATTGTTAGACACCATTCAGATACCGATTCGGATCAGGGGACTACATCAGGAGAAAACCGTGAGCTCATTCGTCGATTAGAGAGAGAAGTTGAAGACGCTGATACCGCAAGAGTGGCTGCATGCGATTCCTACTATGGATATGTGTTTGGTAAATCTATGAAAATGATGGAATCGCAGGGAGAAATGACATCTGAACAAAAACTCGACCCAAATGTTGAACAGGAATTAAAAGGTCGGTGTGAAGATGCAAGGAGAATAAAAAACCTCAAGATGAAACAGTTGGAAAAAGCCATGTTAGGCACTTCTGGTCGAGACCGAAAACACTCGATTGTTGATCCTGGCTCAAGAACTTCTAGTCGAAGCCGGAAGCACTCGATTGACAAACCCGATCCAAGTACTCCTAATCGAGACCGGAAGCACTCGATTGACAAACCCGATCCAAATACTTTCGGTCGAAGCCGGAAGCACTCGATTGACAAACCCGATCCAAGTACTTCCAAACAAGGCCGGAAACACTCGATTGTTAGACACCATTCAGATACCGATTCAGATCAGGGAATTGCACCAGCCAAAAAACATAGACCCACTCATCAACTAGATATAAATCTTGAAAACGCTGAAAGAGCAAGAGCGGCCGCATGCAATTCCTACTATGAATATAAAGCTACTCGACTTGAACAGAAAAAGTTGAAATCAAATGGTCAAAAGATATCTGGAAAAAAGTACAGTTCAAGGACTGAACATGAATTGAAAGAAAAGTGTAGAAAGGCAAGTAAAGCAAAACACTACATGATACGACAGCTAGAAGGAACAAATGGAAACACTCCCAGTCGAAGCCGGAAACACTCAGTTGTTAGACACCATTCAGATACCGATTCGGATCAAGAGACTTTATCAAGAAAAAAGTATAGGAAGCTTGTTCGTAAACTAAAAAGAAAAATCAAAGAGTATAAAAGGAGACGAAAGGATGCATGCAAAAAATATCGTAAACATCAATTCTTTGTATCCAACAATGGTCAAGATTAGCAAAGGGTAAAAGTGTATCGAAATCATTCTACAGTTTAAAGAGTGAAGAGAAATGGAAAAGAAGGTGTGAAAGACAAGGGAGAAGAGTAGAATATCTGGAGCAAAAACTAAGAGAACTTATGGGTGAGCCAGATTCAGATTCGAATTGATGATGTGTCGATGGATTTGATTTTGAATAAATTTAAGCTTTCTGATGTGTTGGTATTTGTCGAGTATTGTGAATGGGTCAACAACCATATTATTTATTGTATATTGTGTTGGGTATTACATCAACAGTTACTGGATTGTTGATTGATACATCAATGACTTGATAACAACCAGTGTTGATTGTAACTACCAGTCATACTTGCAATCACTTGTCAGTTGTATGATACCATCAACTGACCATGTCATGCATTGTACAACAAACGGAGCAATACACCTGTTCAAAGTCGGATGTAGATTGCGTCATCAACTGGTTTGATATTGGTCAATTAGTGTTGTCAGTCTGCAATGTAATATATGCGATATGGTATTGATGTAAATGGACCACTAAATAACAGTGTCGGTGTGTAATAAACAATCAGTGTCATGGACTGATTGACAATTCAATGGTATTGTTGGTGGTAATTGGCATGCAAACAACAGTTGCATTACTGGCATGTGTCATGATTGTTGTTGAACTAGACTGCAATCGTATCTGTGATTCAAAATACAACAGAAACAACAAACGCTGGTTCAAGACTATTTCAGTTCAAATCATAGTTTGTGAGCATCATATCACTGACACTGTTTATAATAATTCATAATGTATATCGAATCAACAGTCAATGTCAAGTACAAAACTACAACCAATATTCAACATTGTTTATTCCAAACCAACAGTCAATTACTGCAAGATAGTGTTCAACTCTATATCAATGCGATTGCATAGTATTTTGGTTTCAGCTGTAAATTTGAACTATTTCGACTTGTTCAAACTTTGCTTGTAATCTGTGCGATTTGTTGCGGATTCAGTGCAAAGGTGAGCAAATCTGATATTTCTACTCGAGATGCTGGAGTGTCTTGATTGAATGCACTTTAACAAAACAGTCAATACTATGCTGTTTTGTTGGATCACATCAATTGATATACTCTTGGATACTCGTGGCTAGTTTACTGTGTTGTATTTGTTAGACATTGATTGTGATCTAGTTGAATGTCACGGATAGCAACGATCGACATGACAGTGGACACTATTGGACATGTACACTGCAATGTGACTGTCAGCAACCATCACCATCAGTGTGTATCATGTGTTTAAAAAGTACTCGCATGCATTGGATTCAACACCACGTTTGTGATTGGGTTGATTTGATTTGTATTGGTGGTGTTGTATTGCATATATCAGTAGATTGTGTGCTGATTTGAATGGCATGATCATCCATTGTGGTTCATGTACACGATGACAATCTGACCTGTTGACACGGCCAGTTTGTTGAACGACCTGCCAATCCTCAATTCAATTATAGTACAACGTCACTCATTCGGTGTATCAACGACAGATTGCCGAGTTTGATGTTGATCATGTTGTGACACAATCAGCAGTGTTTGATGTATACAGTCTACATTAACCTAAAATGACTGTGCAGTCATACCAATGGAAAAGTCATGGTTTTGAAATACTGCAGCAACAGGCTGTTTTATACTGTTGTGGCCGAGTGATCCAAAACACGACCAATCAAACAATCAGTCAAATATTTGGTACACAGTGACAGTATATGTTGTAGTGATGGATTGTAAATGTGATGATAACTATCCATAATCAGGGGGACAATCTGACACTACCTGATTACTGGATGCATGACCGCAGTTGAAAAGATTATTCCAGAATATTACCGAGGTTGATGATACACCAACAGCGATGCTTGTTATTGATTCGCCCTACAGGGTGTTTCCGGCTTTACCCACCCTATATGATGCATTTGGCGTTTTTTCTAAATATCCATTTGAAAAGTGTTGATTGTCTCCCTTGAAGCTGCCGTCATTATAAAACGGCAGTCATCTACCGGATTCAATTTTTTTTTCATTGCACTGATCGGTACAATGCTGATCACTCTAGAATGCGTTATACTTGCGTTGCAAGCGGTTTCTGCAGTTCGAGTTTCATTACATTCACCTTTTGAAAGTGCCAGTCAATCAATCAATAGGCTGTCAAAACGATCACCCGTTGAATTGGATGGTGACATTAGCCGATGTTTCCGAATAAAACTCTATGTTAATGGAATCAATGTATGTATCATGCCGTGTCATTTATTGTAGTTTGATATCAATTTGCATCACGTTGAATCAATCTCACACTTGTTTAAAATAGTTGGGTTTACAGGTCAACTCAATAACTTCCGATATAATCATACCACTTTCTAGTTCAAGCAACGATCTAGGTTTGGCTATACAAAATACTCCAGGTGGACAGCCCGTTACTATAAAGTACAAAGGCAAAGAGTATAATGGAATTACTTCCACAGCCGATGTTACAATTATGAGTACCGAAATAACTGGCGTCAATTTACCAGTAATAGAAATTGAAAAAGAATCGACGGATCTGGTTGGTATTGTTGAGGACTTTGATGGAGTACTTGGGATTGGCTATCTCCCATTGTCAGATTATTATCCACCAGTCACTGCGATGGATGTTTTGTACAATGGTGGTTTCATTTCCAATAACGAGGTTGGTCTTCAACTATGTCCGTATGAAATGTTGCAGGAAAGCTTCATCAATATAGGAAACACGGAAATAACTCCAAAATGTGGAACGGATGGAAAAAGTCTTATATGGGTAAACTCACCATCAGACGAACATCATGCTGTCAACATCAAGAGTATACTAGTCAATGGCAAACAAGTGGATCTGCCCGAGGAATTCCAGCAAGTTGTGGAAAATGGACGTATTTTGTACTCGACTATACATACATGCTATATGTATATACGTTTCCCTGAAAGAGTCGTGAACGTGCTGATCAATTCCATCCTTGATAACAGTGCGATCACTATCAAAAAAACTATGCTTAGGGACGACCGCCTTGACAGAAAAAAAATCAAAAAGAAGTTGCAAAAAAATCGTCTAATGCCCAAATCCAATTATAACATTGATTGGGACAAAATGCCATCGCTTTCAATCGTGATGTTTTCTCAAAACCCCGTAACTGATGAAAATCGCAACTCCCTTGTAACAATCAGACTGGGTCCTCGAGATTATATGCAGACATATAATTTTAAAAATTGTAAATATTTGACAATTGTATGCAATATGTGTTGTTTGATTAACCTGACTAATATATATGTTGGATTATAGTTAGATTTACTGTGACAGCTGGCTCAAATGATCATGCAACTCTTGGTATTCCATTTATGACCCGACTTCTATTGACATTTGATCGACAAAATAAACGCACTGGGTTCGGTCCTGGATGTGGATGCGAAACTATGGCTGATGGTTATCCTATTATTTCAAACGGTGATCAAGTGCTCTGGCCATTAACACAGTAAGTTGTTTGATATTGGTATGTGGATGTGTAGATTGATATTGATCATGAATTTGATGGATACTGTTAGACTGCCTGAACAACCAAGTACTTCAAGTTTAGGTAGAACATCTACTCTCGAAAGATCATTGTCGCGACTTGGTAGCATTCGCCGTGGTAGTAAGCGGTCAAAAGTTAGTTACGAGAAATTTGAGGGCTGAGCAGATATAGCAATAAAACTGGTTATTTGTTGAATAGATGATGACCCTGATTGTCTTATAGTTGATATGATGTACGTCAGGACTCTTGATTTCAATCATCAACAACTACAACTGATCAAGTAGTTGTGCCTGAAAACACTCACCACACTGTCAACAGTCACAAACAGACTCTCAATAAACTCGACTGAATACAATTCATTAATGACAAACTGATACTATATGTATTTTTAATGTGGTGTGTCCATGTTTGACTGTGTGATATGTTCAAGCCGTGCATGTATTGGATCAGCCCAGTGTGTATTGTAGTTGTTTGATACACGATGATCATGCATACTATTGTATTGGTAATACATGGTATTGATTGAATACACATCATGATCGCATATCTCAGTCACGACCCAATGGACACAAACAGTCGAGTCGCGTAGTTTGGGTTCAGCTTGACACATTTGTATTGTCAATCTCGAACAAAACGTCAAAAGTGAATCAAGGTCAACTGGAACAATCAACAGACTGGATCCAGTATGTGTAGTCGCACTGGGTCGCATATATTGATCACAGTAACAGTGTGACACAGTAAACAACTCGAGTGTCATTTTACTGGTTGTGGTTATGGTTATGGTGACATTCCAATGTTTGATACATACAGCGTTACAATGATGGGTCGGCAACAATGTGATGGAACTGGATGCGCAATATTAAAACCATGTCCAGAATACGTGATATAACGACAACTTGCAACCATATTGATGTAAATGGATCACAAAATAACAGTGTCATGCATATGCAAACAACAGTTGCATTACTGACATGTGCCATCATTGTTGTTGAACTAGACTGCAATCGTATCCGTGATTCAGAATACAACAAATGTGTGTACAGAGTTGTATTGACAACATTGACAACATCTACAGTCAAACACAATATATCGATTGCAATACATGGATATGGGTTCAAACTTGTTGATCGTATAATGTATGATTACTAAAAGTGCACCAAATGTAGATTCAACACTATAGTCTGATTGTGTCATATGATGGTTGTTGTATTTGGAACAATCAATATAGTCAATGTGTAGTATCAACCAGCCAAATATGTAACCATTGTATATCCCAAATCAAAGTCACTGCTGGATGAATACCAAAGCGATCCATTTTTACGCGAATATGGTTGTAAAAGGGTGCGTTTACAAGGCTACACAACACTCTTGAAGGGTGTTTTTCAAGACATCTGATAAAAGGGTCACGGAAGCACAACATGATATTGTGACCAGGGAGCAGTATACTGTCTAGTTTGATAGTAGCCCATCGCAAGCAGTCAAATAACCCTGTGTAGTCGACTAACCTAGAAGGGTTAGGGTTGGTTTGCTATACAAAATATAAGTACTGTCAAGTACGCTCAGTTTTAGAATCGACACCAGTTTCAACACTCTACTTTTGTACCAACTGTTTAAACATATTCATCAGAATTGATGAAATTCACTGGCATTTTATTCTTACTGAGCGCGGCAGTAACCGCTAATGCAATGCTGGTCTCGACTGGTAGCAATGGTTCACCTGAAGCATCTGGATTAATTGCTGGATTCAGTTCAAACATTTACAAACGAGGTCAGGAAAACCCATTTGATAAAGATCATTCAGACACTGATTCGGATCAAGAGGCTGCATCAGGAGAAAACAGTGAGCTCATTCGCCAACTAAAGATACAAGTTGAAGACGCCGGGAAAGCAGAATCAATCGCAGCTAATACTTTGTTAAAGTATACGAATCTTGGATTTAAACAAAAAAAGTTGATAGCACAGGGCAAAACGATATCTGGAGAAAAGTATAGCGAACAACGTGAGAATCAATTGGATGAAGAGTGGAAAGCTCAAAGGGGAAAACTAGACATTCTGAGACAGAAATTACGAGAAGCCAGGCTAGGCACTTCTGGTCGAGACCGGAAACATTCGATTGATGAATCTGACTCAAGCACTTCTGGTCAAGACCGAAAACACTCGATTGATAAACCCGATCCAAGTACTCCCAGTCGAGACCGAAAACACTCGATTGATGAACCCGGTCCAAGCACTTCTGGTCGAGACCGAAAACACTCGATTGATAAACCTGATCCAAGTACTCCTAATCGAGACCGAAAACACTCGATTGATGAACCTAGCCCATGCACTATCCAACAAAGCCGGAAACTCCCGTCTGATAAAGAACAGCCAAGAGAAAACCGTGAGCTCATTCATCAATTAGTGCAAAAACTTGAAGCTGCTGATACCGCATCCACAGCCGCATGCGAGGCTTCCTATGCGTATAGGATTATTGAATATGAACAAGAAAGGTTAATATCGCAGGGAAAACCGATATCTGGAGAAAGGCATATCAGAATACGTCAATATAAATTGGATAGTCAATGGCAGGCTGCAAGGAGAAAGGTAGAACATCTGGAACAAAAATTACAACAAGCCAGATCAGCCATTCCAAAACAAACCCGGAAGCACTCGATTGACAAACCCGATCCGAGTACTTCCAAACAAGGCCGGAAACACTCGATTGTTAGACACCATTCAGATACCGATTCAGATCAGGGAATTGCACCAGCCAAAAAACATAGACCCACTCATCAACTAGATATAAATCTTGAAAACGCTGAAAGAGCAAGAGCGGCCGCATGCAATTCCTACTATGAATATAAAGCTACTCGACTCGAACAGAAAAAGTTGAAATCAAATGGTCAAAAGATATCTGGAAAAAAGTACAGTTCAAGGACTGAACATGAATTGAAAGAAAAGTGTAGAAAGGCAAGTAAAGCAAAACACTACATGATACGACAGCTAGAAGGAACAAATGGAAACACTCCCAGTCGAAGCCGGAAACACTCAGTTGTTAGACACCATTCAGATACCGATTCGGATCAAGAGACTTTATCAAGAAAAAAGTATAGGAAGCTTGTTCGTAAACTAAAAAGAAAAATCAAAGAGTATAAAAGTAGACGAAAGGGTGCATGCAAAAAATATCGTAAACATCAATTCTTTGTATCCAAACAATGGTCAAGATTAGCAAAGGGTAAAAGTGTATCGAAATCATTCTACAGTTTAAAGGGTGAAGAGAAATGGAAAAGAAGGTGTGAAAGACAAGGGAGAAGAGTAGAATATCTGGAGCAAAAACTAAGAGAACTTATGGGTGAGCCAGATTCAGATTCGAATTGATGATGTGTTGATGGATTCGATTTTGAATAAATTTAAGCTTTCTGATATGTGTTGGTATTTGTCGAGTATTGTGAATGGGTCAACAACCATATTGTTTATTGTATATTGTGTTGGGTATTACATCAACAGCTATTGGATTGTTGATTGATACATTGACATGGTTTGTTCCATATACATTAATGACATGATAACAACCAGTGTTACTTGCAAGGATAGCATATTCATAGATACTTTCAACAATATACTTTGAATTATGACGTTTCATGCATTCAATAATATCATTTCCGTCAATCAGATCCAAAACAATGTCAATATCCATATTAATCATGGATTGATTGTTACCATTAAACAATAATGTATTATCTGAAATATTGAATTGAATTGTCTTTTCAGTATCTACATTTTGCAGCATATACCCAAATTGAATATCAAGCCAATATCCAATGTTTGATTGGTGATTTCTTCGGTATATTTTGCATCAACTCTTCCACATTGGTGAGCATGTGTCCTACACTGTATTGTATTGTATTTTGGGTGGAAAGGATGTTTGTTGATATGTCTATTAAACTGTCGCTTTAACTTGCTTGCTTGGTTCCAATGCTCTATTTGTAGTTGAATCAGTTGCTTGTACGCCTTTGTTGGTTCAACTCGACTCCTGAATCCTTGGATACGTTTTGTAAACCGCAGTTTGACTTTGACGAGTTTAACATCAATGTTCACCGTTGATCCAACCATTTCCATGATATTGTTATTGGGGTTTTCCTAATGGCAACAATAAATCAACGACAAAATGCAATCCGAGCATCTCGTAATGGACTCTGTATGAGCCAATTGAACCACTATTTTTGTTCAAATCAGAATTACTTTGTAACAGGTTTCCAACATTTTCAACGAGTTTAAACAATAATAGAAAATAAATCCAATTCAATTGTTTGTTGATACCATTCCAAAATGTATTTTCTTGGGTTTATTCAAAACCACCACAATGACATTACACATCACAAGCACATCCTTAAGATTCAAGTATCTACAAACTTTGATCGTGAACTCGGTCTTCATCAAACCTAAAAACGGTCAAAAGTATCATGTTGTTGAACGAAATCTAACCAACCATCTTGTAAAAGCAGCAACCCACTATTTGTGCAATGATATTGAACCTATTACTCATGAAATCATACCTCGATATATGCTCAAGTCGGACAACCCAATCAAAGTAGATCCCAACAAACTCTTGAAATCAAACATTCAATTCCTTGATGAAAAGTATCATTCAAAATCAATACAAGCCACTTTATCATTGAATCAATGAGTTGCTGAACAAGAGTTACTACGAGACATTGTATTGTATGTATATTTTACATTCTGGCTTAGTACTTTGATCAAAAGTCATCATCACACTGTAACGGACGCTCAGATCAATGTAGACCGAATGGCTCATCATGTATTTAGCGATTCAGATGTTCTTGGTAAAGTGATGGTAAAACAGCACACATTACAGCAGAAATTGTATCAAATGGTAATGAGTGCCGATGTAGACGCCAAATATGTTGAATATATCATACTATGAATCCGTAATCTTGATGGAACCCAGCACCATTTCTTGGGTCAAGCAAATGCTGGAAAAATACATCCAGTTCATCGTTTGCCATATTGACACTTGACTTGTTGTATCTGATATTCCAAATCTACCGCATCCAGTGGTATTGTTGGTGAATCATCAATTACATTCAAAGTATGTTTGATAGTTATTGTGGTATTATTTTCAAACGATTTGCTGATTTGAGGTAGCCAGTAAGTTATCATGATTGTATTGCTGGGATTTTGGCAAATATTGATTATTTTCAATAACCACCGACTATTTACTATTTTGAATACTGGTATCTGGACATGGAATATGATGACAAATGACTTTAATGTGTCCAATTTCAATTCTGATTGTGATTGGGATTCCTGTTTTCATGCAATTGGTCAACGATTTTGAACATTCATTTCCGTCGACCCAAAATACATTACATTCAGTTTTGAAACAAGTCTTCAAACAAGGTGTTGATGCAAGTTATGTACAATAGTCACATCCTGTTGTTCTGGATTTGCAATTCTTGTCATGATTATGTTTTGTCTACAGAAATACTGATGTTTAGCATTAGTTCTGTTCCAGATTCAACGTATTTTGTTTCTGCATCAAATTCTCTAGGTTTTTATGGTTCACTCTCTGGTCATCCAGGTTGTTCTATGGCCATTGATGTCAATTCTGCATTGAAAACATCGATTAAACAGATATTCTGCGGTACCAATCATGAGCAAACGGATTTGGCAGGAAAGGTCATTGAACAGCGCTACAACAAACGCATTGCAAGCTATGATGAATTTGAATCATTGGTGTCACAATGGGGTGGAAAGTTGGACGAGTCGGCTCGTGCAAGAATCAAGTTTTAAAAACCTGGCTAGTATTTACATTTTACTATTTATCAGTCATAAATGTAGAAGGTGTAAAACATGAGTTCAAGTATTGATTTTATCGAACTCAGCAAGTTATTGATTGCAATAAATGAACGCTGACTAGATGTTGGCATGTACTGCACAAAATTCAACCAAATCATTGCAACTTTCAAGTACTATTTATTCAGTTTCAGTTTTAATGACATTGATTCATTTTTACAATCTTGGACAAAATATAGCAGTGATTATGGGTGAATCTCATCAATTGTGTTCATTCGAGTCAGAGCATGAATCTGACACGGTAAGCAACCAATCCTTTCAGATCATCCACTATTGTACGCCAAGTCTTTTATCCAGGATTGCACATCTCGAATAAACAGTGTGTGACAACTATGGACACATTTAGCAGTAATTGACAGTCAAGAAACTGGTATCAATATTCCATGTATACTGTCAGAATTTTTAGAGCTTCGTGATTTGTATAAATTTAAATGTATAAAGTAGAGTATAGTCTGATACTGTTAGTAGTTATCAGAAGAGAACAAATCAAAAGTGTAAAATAAAAAAGGAAGTTTGCACTTTAATCCAAGATCAACAGACTTGGTCTTTTCAAGAGTAGTGAAGAGGGGTGATAAGTTAATTAGATGGTTGAAATAGTTGAAGAGTTGTTTATTGATAAGAAAATATCTTGGCTCCAATAGTAGTTGATTGATTGTCTTGTGATACGAACAAGTAACACATTTGATAGTGAGAGGTTGTAAACGAAAAGTAGTTGAGCCAATGGGATTGATTTCTGTAATTAGTCAATTTAATAATGATACCATTTACCCGTTACTGGGGACTCGAATCCTAGAGATGAGGATAATGGAGTTTGGAGCATATGGATTGGTGGTGATGAAGGGTTTAATTTGGAGATTCAAAGTGTGCGCTACTAGAATTAGCTTTGTCACAGATTACTACTTAGGAGTATCCGTCTGGATATTCCAACAATCATTGTGTATCTAAACACCAAATATTACAATACATCAATAATACCACAGTGTAAACAGTAATACAGTTGATCAGTATTGTGGCAAGACTTTTCATTCAAGTTTGTATTTGGAAATACTCGATGGTTTAATCACCACACACTGTTTGTAATGCGATTGTCATTGATCTCATTCCATTCCAGTCCAGTCCATCTGATTTATGATGATGTTTAGTAATCCATTACCATGTGTTGTAGTAAACTAGTTTGTTTATTAAACCAAATCTACAACAATCACATTCAGAATATTAATTTACAGTATTTCTAAATGCATGTTTGATAACAATCCAATTTTGTTACAAAAAACTGATCAAAACAATACTAAAATGGAACAACTCGTTTATGTGTTTTACAACAATCCAAACATGAACAATTCTTGGCAATTGTTGGACATTCGCATGAATGAAATTGTCAAATCAAAATTTGATCAAAATTTGATCAAAATTCAACTTTACTAATTTTATCAAACATGGAGTGGATTGATAACATGAAAGAGTTGATTCAACGCCTGGAAGATCTGAAACTATTAACAACGGATGCTCAACTACACAAGGCTGATGAAATATGGGGTAGACTGCTTGTATTGATAATGAAGTTGAGAAAACAGAATTACAGTAAGTTTAGTAGTCATTGTATTATTGATGAGTTCAAACTGTTGCTGACTTTGTGTTGGTTTGAAATGGCATGATATATAAATGTAGCGCCTCGCTTACAGAGTATTGGACTGGAAGATATCACAGTCAAGTATTTGGAGTATAATCGACCCAGTTTACAGGTATTCATATATTGTAACAATAATGGATTGTTCATGACTAAAATAATCAACATGTGCTGTGTAGATCAAAATAATGGAGTTTGCTACAGTGTTTTTGAGAATGATGTACAGTAATAATGAGTTCAAAGTATCACATCAACTAAGCAACCAAATTGCACAGCTCATGCAATCATCAAACCGTCAGGTCAAAATAGCGGCAAGTCATGATTGATATTGATCAAATGATTGTCATTCAACTCACTTAGTGTCAATATGCATATAGGCGATAAAAACATGTAAAAAGCTGTACAAATATAACCGCTGGAGTCAAGAGGATGGATTTGACATCAAGCCAATGGTTGAGATTATTGTTCACGAGTCCAATCAAGAAGTGCTCAGATTGGCAATTGACCTGTTCTTGCAAGTTTGTCATGGTATTGACGATGAAAATGTATGTTTGTAATGATACAATATTGGATCAGTTTGGATAGTGTCGAGTCTTGTCGTGTTGATTGTATACTTGACATTGAACAATATCATTAGTTTGGCATCGTGGTATTAGGATTTGTTTCACGACTGGAATCATCCGATGGTTCAGTTGCTGTTGGTTTTATCAAAAATCTCCAAGCCATGTATTGGAATATTCATCGTGATAACCCAGTAAAAGCAGCTGAATGTGGCATCATTCCAGCAATAGTCAATACGCTCAGGTATGTGGTGTTATGCATGAATGTGTGTCCAGTCATCACAATTGGTAAATTTGACATGGTTGGATTGACA